GTGAATTCGGGATGCGGATGATGATGCGGTGGTACGACAGGATCATGTGGTGGTACGACAGGGGCAACAGTTGGTGCCCTTGTGGTGGTAGGTGGAGGCAACATTGGTGCCGGCGTAAACACATCATCGTCGTGCGAGCACGAGGGAAAAATGGTTGGCCCCGAAGAAACCGTTGGCGGCGTGGGGAGTGTGGTTGCGGTTCCGACGGGTGGCATGGTTGGAGGTCTAGTACGCGACGTTGGTTGGCTTGGTGAGGGTGCCACTGTAGGGGAAAGCAACGTTGGAGAGAACGTTGGATCGCTTGTAATTGTGGGATTGTCTGGGTTGGGTGCCGGGGTAAGTTCTGTTGGAACCGTCGATGGGCTGCAGGAAATGTGTTGCGTAGGGAATCCTGTGGAATCTTCGGTGGTAACGAAAGGCGTTGGCACGGGGCTAGGTGCAGCGGAAAAGGGGCTATTGCAGTCGCAACCGCACTGTTCGAGGTCTAATTGGAAACCTGCTTGGTTGTGCGGATCATTCTTTGCTGCAATGTAATAGCCGGTGCTGATACCGCCCGTGAAGGTCAAGACGGGATTGTTCAAACCTGGTTGTTCGATCATGGTGTTGATTGTGGAATCGAACCCAACCACACCGACGGGTGTAAGGACAGCAGCCCACGGAGATACGATTGGTACGCTGCAACTCATGTGAATCTCAGAAACAAATATCTCATTCGAATCGGATGTGAATGTTACCACGGTGTTCATGGGCATTCTAGTATCAAATAGGGGCTGTTGGGTAAGGGGATTGAGCTGCACGAAGCAGATTTCGTCGCCCTCCGAAACCCTCACCTCCTTGGTGGCCGACGAGCAAGCTGTTCCAGTAAGAGGCGCAGTGAGACACGTATCGTCACACGGAACGATGCGGATATTATGACCGCTGCTACCGCCACCGCTGCTCTTGGAGCCCTTAGATCCTACGGATCCACTGGTACGTTGCTCGACGCTGAAAATACCGGTTACGAACTTGTCGCTGTAGAAATCGAGATCGAATCCAACCTTGAGGTAACTCGCACCCCCAGAGCAGCAGCAGTTGGTCGATTTCACCTCCTTCCACTCCGAGACGGTGTCGATCTCACAAACCGGTTGCTTCGGGGAGTCGGACCCAGTACAGATATCGTCGCAGGTGCCAATGCTAACACTCTTCGTGCCCTTTGAACCCTTCGATCCTTTAGAGCCCTTGCTTCCCTTCGATCCATAGTAGCCGCCCTTGCTGCCCTTCGATCCATAGTAACCACCTTTGCTTCCTTTGCTACCCTTCGATCCATAGTAACCGCCCTTGCTTCCCTTGCTCCCTTTCGAGCCGTAGTATCCGCCCTTGCTGCCCTTGCTGCCCTTGCTGCCCTTCGAACCATAGTAGTTCACGGCACCATAAACCGGAATGAAGTGTACCCCGATCAAGGAATTTGGGTCGTCAGGATCGTAGTGGCGCCCCACGACTTCGTCTCTGTTGTTGAGGTAGGAAACGGTGAGGTCACGTCCCTTTCGTTCGTCTCCTCCGCCTACCAGCATGCTTGCCTTCACTTGGGCAGAAGCTGAATCATTGGATGTGGCAGTTGCCTCTGCAAAGCAAACAATGGAAGTAACTGCCACCGCGATGGAAGATATAAAAAGCTTCATTGTTGTAATAGATATGATACGCGTCTTTTAAAATTCCTTCACACACTCACACACACTCTCTCTCGTTCAATTGTTTGTTTGTCAGTAGTTAGCCTCGTTATTCCTTATGGTAGTATGCTATTCCATATGGTGCAGAGATGACTGATTTGAGGCCTCGTGCTTCTGAAAATTTACAGCAGTTGTCGGCGTCCGTCTTTTCAACCTTCCAAGGTCTTGGTACCATATGCCTGGTCGGGTGTGGTAGCAACAATTTGAAACCGCTTCTAGTTTTGTGTATGTCTGATCCGTTGCGTTCAATCCCGAGATTCATAGTAACCTTGAATTCAGCGATTTTATTTGTTTTTAGCTTCTGCCGAATCACCGATTTGGGCAGGAAATAAGCCTTATCCCCTAAAGTGCGAACAATATTGAATGTGACACTCCTGTCACTAAAATACAAGCGGAAAGTACATTACTGTAAATCGTCACAAACCTCTTTCAACGAGTTTCCTCCATAATTGCCTGTGTACTTAGGAATTTTCTTTTCGAATACAAATGAGACTCCTATCGGTAATAGTGATGAAACCAGCGATCCCAACGACTCCTATTCCGTATCGATGAGCGATTTGACGATCTACTGGTACGTACCGTATGGTACGGTACATTAACGTACTTCTATTAGAATTATTTTTGTCTTTAATGGTTGAGCCCGAAACTGTCCGTCGGTCGGATGTCGGATAGGGATTCACTCGTCGGATCATATTTCTAGTACGTATGATACATATTGTACCTGGTCAACACGATATCACTTTGTATCTTGCTATGTCATTGCGCGCGATTGTGCGAAGGACGAATCAATGAACTTCTCGATTGAGAAAATCGAAAATCATCACATCTTCAAGAAAATACAGTAACAATCCTCCGAGTCCGAAAACCGAAAACATCTACTAGTCTACTACCGTAGGCCAGGGAGAAAATGCAACTGTACCGGTAGATTGGGAAGTTTATTACATGCATTAAACACGTAAGGGACTAAATTTGTACTACCATTATTCTAGTCTAGAATTAGTTTTCACGCTACAGGTAGTAATGTACGGTACAAGTACGGGTACGTTCTCGTATTGTATCGTATCATATCGTATCGTATCGTGTTAGGAATGACGTACAGACGATGCGATAGTACGTTGGATAAGTCGTACGAGTACCAGTACTTGATCCTCCGCGTGGCATGGAATTTCCAAATCATGTCATGATCATACGAGGACTGCGACTTATATTATAACCCGCCTACAAGCAGTACTCGTACCGGTACGCCGTACAAAATCCATTGATCGCTTTCATCCATCATCTACGGTACTGCAGTCCTTTTCTTGTAAGACCGGCGCAAACCTTTTGGCATGGGGTCCTCTCCTCTAACGCAAACACAAGAAAGAAAACAAAACCGGAAATTCACTTCAGCAAAATCAAAATGAAGATCGGTTCCAGCTTGAAATTTGTGAGTGAACAAGCATTACCATCTGTGGCTCGCGGTATCGACGATCGAAAATGAGTTGTGGTTTTGTGGCACCAAATGTTTTCTGTCACTTGCTGTTGCTGTTCGTTGAATTGCTTCGTCGTGTCAATGCATGTCATTGTGGTATCGTGGCAACCATCGAAGTGTTCTAACTTTTCCATCTCGGTTTCCGTGTATTTTTCTGCTCTGGCGCGGTTTCATGTGATGCGTGGTTCTTCTACAGTGCACCGGAGCCGTGGTAGCATTGCTACTCGGCGGGGCGTCGGCTGCTCCCCCTACTCCCGTCTCGAACGTCCACGTCACCCTCAAGGGAAAGAAGTACCAGATCGACGACGTGACAACCCTTGCGGAACTCCAGGAACGACTCGAAGAGCACAGCGGGATCCCTCCGTCGAAGCAGGGGAAGATTCTTCACAACGGAAAGCGACTTAGCGAGAGCGACGATGGTCTCTCCGAGGCCGGGGTCCAAGAGGGCGACCAGCTGAACTGCGTCCCGGCCAAAAAGTCGAGCAGCAAGAAGAAGTCGGCGTCCACGACGTCGGCCCCCGATTCATCGGCGTCGCCTTCCGAGGGTGGCAGTGCGGACAGCCTGGCCGATATGATGAAGGGACTCGAGGGATCCATGGGCGGAGGCGCCGGTGGCCTGGACGACATGATGTCCAAGCTGATGTCCGGCGGCATGGGAGGAGGAGCCGGTGGCATGCCGGACATGGCCGAATCCATGAAGATGATGAAGGAGCTCACCGACTCGCCGATGTTCGCCGAGTACATGAACGACCCGGCCAAGCTGGAGGAATCCCGGCAGATGATTCTGAACAATCCCATGATGAAGGCCATGATGGCCTCCATGCCGGGCATGTCGGAAATTCTCGAGGACAAGGACGCCTGGGCACAGACCATGATGGCAGCGGCTGGGATCATGAAATCGATGGACCCCGAAGACATGATGAAGATGATGGAAGCCGGTGGAGCTCCCGGGGGTGGAATGCCCCCCGGCATGGGCATGCCCGGTGGAATGGGAGGCGGTCTCTTCGACGGTGGTGCTTCGTCGGCGCTCGACGAGTTGTCGGAAGATGACGAATAAACTGCACTTCTAGAAGAAAAACACCAACCATCGGTTCACAGACCGCATCGCAATTATCCGTCGTCGACGCCTTGCAGCGATTCGTGCACAGCCGAGAATACGGGCGCAAATGCTAAGTAACAACCATATTCTGACGACTCAGTCATTTCATGGATTAAGTTGAAACCGTCCACAAATGGGCGGAGTCACACGATAATAGAGAAGCTCCGACGTGGCTGCACTCGGTGATTCGTGCTGCGTTGTGGGAGAGATGGAAATGGTCAATAGATGGTTCCCAACCAAAATGCATGAGCAGCAACGGGTGGTTTTCGTGTTTTTTGACCGCTTCTGCGTTGTGCTCGGTTTTGTACTGTACAGGCGACGAAAATTAGCAACTTCAGGTGTGCAGTACACTCGAACAATGATATAATATATAATACCATGTGACTTTTGGTTCTTACGAGAAATGTTTTCACAGCACAATACCCCCTACGGTATGTTTACGATCCCCAGTGCATATTTTTTCAAACAATAGCTCGATTCGTTCATGTGTTGTTTGGCAATGATCCCCAATAGTAGTTGGGCTTTGCTCGTTAGGACCCCTTTGCCTCAGCTGCAATCCGGGACATGGGACTTAGCTGTTGCTTTATTCCTTGATTGTGTGCACCAGTGTTCCAAATCTCAGAGAGTTCTACACGTACTTCGAAACAATGGAAGCCGAAGAACTTAAACAGCCGTCGCGGGTTTCATTCTTCATGTCGAAACGACGAAATGGAAACTTCGAGATCATTAGGATGCACGCCAAAGTCAATGGTCGGATTTATTCTGAGTCGTTAAAAATTTCTCGTCTTTCTTTCTTCCGCTTTGTACTACAGTAATCCTCCTTTGCATCCTTCAAAAGAAATTCACGACTACCATCGATCTCTCAATGAATGTCGAGAAGTATCACCAGCGCCAATACTTATGTATCGAGAAGAAATGTGTTCAAGAAGTTTCACAAATAAGCCTCTAACGAGACTCTTTGATTTTGGTCCAGCTTTGGGATGCTCTCAGCGCGCCTTTTGCATCTGTCGTGGATTGATGTGCAGCCGCTTCTTTCAAGAATGCGTAGGAACGCGGATCCCCAAGAAGTAGAAGTTGATCGGCCTTCGTTACTGCCAAGAACAATGACGAATTCTGCGTAGAGTGAGCTTGTTACTAACAGTTACAATGCAACCGATTCGCTGCGACAGTGACTTCCTTTGCAATCTTCTCATGATGCCTATCGAATGTTCACACAGCATACAAAATCCAACACTATCCTGTAGAATTCTGGGCGATTGTAAGGAATTACAGTAGAACAAGAAAAATCCTTCGCGCATTCCTTCGATAGTTCAAACAGTGCCTTGGCTTTCGTTGAGAGAATTACTTTGAGTTGTTCGTTCGCTGTTTCACTTGCAGTCAATACAACGTCCTCATTTTAGAAATGGCATAGTGATATAGTGATGGAGCACCGCGAAAGCTCCTCTGTGAATGGACTTGTGATACAAGCATGGTTTGTTTTCGGCACATATCCAGATATCAATCATTACAATAAATAAACCCCTTGTTTAACACCCCTATCTTCCTCCTAAAACATGTTCCAACAGCTCTTCCCTCTTTCGATTGTTTCCGAAACCCCATTCTTTATGTTCCAAGAAAGAGCGTCGTAAGCTACCATGCGTCTTCTTTTTGCGACAGGAGCTCTATTTTTCGCCAACATACTTTCTATATGAAAAGAATAAGATCCTCTGCTTCTTTGTCTGACTAGCATACAATAATCTTGTGTGCTCGTATGACAGGCGATTCAACCTTCTGCTGAGTGGTCCTCGAGCTCGTTGTGCAGATTCGGTAGACGGTTCGTTTCCGGTTAACCCCATTATGATACGAAGGACTTCTAGTCGTTATCATTTTGAATCAAAAGAAGAACATGCCTGATCGAATTTTCTTTGCTACCAAATTGAACAATCTCTGGTACGATAAACAACTCCAATGCCCAAGAGTACGTAAAAGTTAGGATTGTGAGCGTTGTGTCAAAAAAGTTCTTTATTCCGATACAGGGACTCGAACCCTGGTATCCTGCGTGAAAGGCAAGTATGCTAACCACCTACATCATATCGGAAGCTGCGTGATCTAATGGCGTTATTTTACTCATTATATTATATTTGCCGGAAATCCTACTACCTCCAATATGGAAGTTAATACACTCTGCAATATGACACAAATCTTCAAGAAGCTATACTTGTTTCTGGCTTTCCCATAGCCTTTTCTAGTTCAACCTGTTAAATACTTCTGACATTCCTAGTAGTACTAGTAATTCTTTTGTGTGGTGGGTAGTAGTAGTACTAAGAACAGCACTGGTGGTGGATCATTGGTACTAGTAGTACTAGTACTCGTAATACTACTACAGTATTCTTAGTTGTACTAGTACGTTGTTTCAAGAGCACGCTATTGACAATAGTAGATAAAAAATGAATGGGGTTTGACTTTATTTTTTTTGATACTACAAGTATCTCTCTGCAGACATCATCATACTATGTAGTACTAGTAGTAGTACTACTACTACTACACTTTTCCCAGAAGTTGGTCATCCTTTTCAAGAAGATCATAATATGTAGATTCAGAACCTACAAGAAATATACTTAGTTTCATTTCATTATACATATTCTTTGTCAGTGTAGTCTATGGTCGGTAGTCTTGGGATCTTCCAGTTCCGTGAGCGGTTGAGTTTGCTGCCAGCAAGAGGTACCGGTGTGAAGCCGGTTGCTACCTTTACCAATATTGAATTCTGGAATTGAAGATGTGGTGGTTAGGGGATTGAACAACCACCGTTGTTGTCCCGATGAGCATCGTGTCCATTGGGTACACAGCAGAGCATCGCCCCAACAACTATTGCTGCGCGTTGGTGGTAGCACCGGCAGCCGCCAGATCCCGAACAAAGGTTTCGCCGGAGCCACTGGCTGACAAGCGAGAAAAATCGATCTGGAGGCATACTTCCTCCTCCTCCTGCTGCCGTGGCGAGGATCGGGTCGCTTGTGTCTCTTCCTCCTCCTCGCCGCCGTCTTCTCTGGGGGGGATGCGGTCCATGGGCACGATTCCACGGCACCGTCCCGCCACCTGATTTGGTGTAGATACTGTCGGGACGTCGACGGGCGCTGGATCCTTGTCCTCCGGCGGCGATTCGGTGCCGCATTCGCTTCCGGTGTTGGAACGAGTGCTGTTCCTGCCGCCATAATACTCGCAGAGATTGCCCGTGGCTTCGTCAGACAGAATGCCCATAGACATGTGGATCTCGTCGTTCTCGTCGTCCACCGGGTCGTTCTCGGTTTCCTCGAACGAAAAGCTGGTCATCGACATCATCTCTTCGCATTCTTCCAACAACTCGATGGCGTCGTCGATGGCGTTTGTGTTCGCATGGCTCGGAACTCCGTCTGTCATAGTGGCAGCATCCACTGTAGAAAACGGGAGAGACAAGATGCCGTCCACCATCAAAGAAGCCTTTCCCTCTCGGGTTTCCGGACTTGTATTTTGGTCGCTGGCGTCGTCGGAGGACCCGTGCACCACGGTCGTTGTCGGTTCCGGTTCGTCCCTGTTTCCCTCGTCGAGGGGCAGCTTGAGGCTCGCGACGGCCTCTAGCATGTTTTTGCTCTTGCGGAGAAGGCGCGTCAAGACGGTGCGGGACAGTTTCTTTCCCTTGGTCCCGAGAAACGAATAGTCGGTGCGCGCGTGTTTGTCTCCGGCCAGATAGATCTCCGACGGAGACGACAAGCCGTTGTCCGGGGAGGTGGGTGGCTGCAAAAAGAATTCCGACTCGCACTGGCGCAAGTGGCACGCATGGTGGGTAGGGTCGTCGTCGTCGTCGTCGTTGACGACGTCGACAACCCGTTCGCTGGCAACGCCTTGGCCTTCAGGTGGCTCTTGTTCCACCTCGATCGCATCTCCGTACTGTTGAATCATGGATTGCAGGGCGTTGTGGATCTCGATGCGGGATCTCCGGCGTCGCATCCTCTGGTGGGTCTTGTTCTTGTTGGTCAGGGAGGAAGACGTCAAACATGATTGAACCGACTGCACCGAGGACACCGACGCGGAACTCCGGCGCCTGCCGGCACTGTATCCGTTAGACGACGACGACGACACCGAAGACACCGAGGATCGCATCGGTCGTTCCTGCTGGTCTCTCGAAGAACTGCACGATTCGAAAGAGGTCGTTGTGGTTCGGTTTCGGCTGCTCCGACGGGTTGGCGGCCTCGGGAGGCTGGGTTTCGGCGTCGATGCCGAGGTTAGAGATTGCGTGCGCCTCGGGATGCTTGTTTTTGTTGCCGACGATGACAGAGACACCGACCGCTTTGGCAGAGGGGACTGCGAGGAAAACTCCGGGATGTCTCGCTGCGAGGATTCTCTGTGGGCATAACGTTTCGGGGACAACTTTTGTCTTGTGGTAGCAGAGGACGATCTGTCGGCAGAAGCTCTTCGGATGGTTCTTGTTTTGGCTCTGGCTTTGGCTCGGTTCGCGCCGATACTCCTCGAACGGCGATTGCCGGAGGCGAGACGCTCGGAAGATTCCGTTTTGGAACCGCCCGCTGTGCTGTTTCGATCGGTACTCGTGTTTCCGTTGCGAGAGGGCAACAGCGAAGACCTGGTTGCGTGCCTACCGGAAGGCCGGGACACGAGACTCGAGGACCTGCGGGGGTTCTTGTTGCTCGAGACGGCGCGAAAGGCCCTGAGTGCCGTCACTAGACCATCGTGGTCGGGCGGTGGGACCCGCACCCTCTCCGAGCTGTCCTTGCGTTCGAGTTTTCGGGAGAGTTCTTCCAGTTCGGAGTGCAGGAAGGCTTGCCGGCTGGCAGCTGAGTCTGCGGATGTCATTCGGGAGGAATGGTTTGTGCTTCTGCTTGGTAGGACTGCGAATGCTCTGGTGTCTGCTACTGCAATCGATAATTTATGAGGGGAGAAGCATTGCAACTCGTTGCACCGGCCTTTGCCAAAAATAATTTTCGTACCGAGTACGAGCGCTTGCATCAATACAATTAATACAGCGGAGACCGTGTTGTTCCGTCGTATTCGTGCCCATTCTCTGGACAACATTGGGGACATCATTATCGTCGAGACGGGGGTCTCTTCGACGTGTTTCAACACTTGATCGATACGTCCCGATAAAAACTTTCGGGGGGCGCAATGGTTTGGTACCGTTTCCACTTCGAATGGTTGAAGATGCGGATGGGTTGGGAATTCGATCCTGTTCGCTGTGGCGAAAACCCGGACCGAATTGACAAATCCAATCGATGCACGACGAACGGATGACTTGGTCGTATTTTGTTCGCGAATGATGTCGAAGTACTTGATGTGCTCGCTCTATTTATATATTTCGGATTCTTCGTAAAAGCCTTAAAAATCAAAAGGTTGTGAATTCTTCCGTGTTCATTGTAGACATTTTTCATAATGATTGACAAACCTATGCGATGCACGATGAACAGACACCTTGGTCGTATAATGGTCGCGAATGATGCAAAAGTACTTAATGTGCTCGCTCTATCTACACATCTTTGGACTGATAATATAAAAAATAAAATATCTTGACCTCATCTTACAACCAATGCTGAGAAATTAAAGTTGACAAATAGGGATAAGGGTTACCGTATACCAGATACTGCATCCTACCAACAAGTCAGAGGATAACAAAACAAGATTCTGAACATCAGCACATATTCTTTAATTTATTTATTAGTGAAAAGTGTTATTAACTCATCTAATCTCTGGTCACATAATTACAGCACATCCTGCCCGTACCTCAGTGTTCTTTCGTTGGTTGTATGACCTGAGGATCAACATAAATTTAAGAATAAGAATCAATGAAATCATAACCATGGCAGAAGACATTGGCAAGAAGGTCAAAATTGTCGAGGCTGAGGCAGTGACAGAGGAAAAGAAGCTTCCCAGAAGGAACAACAGATACACAAAGAAAGAAGGAAGCAACAACCCCTCAAACACCAGTAGCAAGAAGAACATAAGCACCTACACATCAAAGACAGAAGAAATTAAGGATGATATATTCACCTTGGGAGCAAACATGTGGAAGAAATGGATACTAAGCTGAGAAGCATTCATCAACTATGCAGCCCAAACATATGGGGGAAGCCTCAAAGCATCATTACACCAGATGGAGATAACCTTGTTAAATGCAAAGAAACCAGAGGAACACACTGCTGCAGATACAGCAAACTCACCCCACTCTAAGTGGATAAATGGAAAATGGACTATAAATGCTAGTACAAGGAGGGTGAAGAGGCCAGGAAGGAGTCCAAAGAAAGCGCAAGCGATGTTGCAACAAGGACCACATGCTTTATTAGTGACAACATAATTGAATCATGGAGCGACTACCTCACAATCAATGACTATAATTGGACATTCATGTGCAATGGAGGAACCCAGGGATTTCATTTGGCAAGACAACAAAAAGAGATAATAATTGAAGACCTGACCAATAAGAATAACTAGGTTCTTAACCAAGTTGAAGGACGACTGAATCCTTTTTGGATATATCTGGACAATCAATCCACTGTACATGTATTTTTCAATACACTCTTCCTACAAAATATACAAACAACATCAAAGGAATTGCACCTATACACAAACACAGGAAAATTAATCATCAATGAAAGCAGAGAATTCCCAGGCTTTGGGACAGTTTGGGTTCACAGGAGTGGAATTGCTAACATCTTATTGTTCCATGGCATTAAAAGAAAAGGGGATACAATATAATGTATAACAGCAAAGTAGCCAATGCGTTTCATGTAGTAATCAAACCAGATGAGTCTATCTGAACATTTACACCATCTCCAAAAGGCTAATACTACTCTGATTTCTCTGATGTATTCAGAACAAGAACTCAAAAACAATGGGATGTTGTCATGCAGAATGAGACCATACTGACTATCACAAGCAACAAAACAAAACACTCTAAACAAGATGTGTTGCATGTGAAAAGAGCACTTAAGTTTCAGCACATTGCTGGGAATCTCAGTGACAACCAGCCAATGCAAATATCATGTGATCATCACCTTTGGAATAACCCAATTATGCCGCGAGATATACAACTGACAAAGGTTGTCATTCTTGGTCAAAGTATCCCGGGCCTAAAGGGGAAGTCAGTACGACACAAGAAAGTAGGGGTGACAACTGAAATTATCCCGGTTCCACCTCACATCAAAGACCATTACCAAAATGTGACAATTTCCATTGACATAATGCTTATCAATGGAATACCATTCCTCACAACAACATCAAGACATATACACTATCACACCGCAAGTGCACTCCCAAGAACAATGCAGACCCATAACATGATTGAAGCACTAACAGCACTGCAGAAATTCTACAAGAAACAACAATTCAAGATCACACACATTCCAGCAGATGGAAAGTTCCAAGCATGTAGTCATGACCTAGCAAATGCCAGAATTACACTAAGCTGCGAGTCTTGTGACAAACATGTCCCAGAGGCCAAACACCTCAACCCTATCATTAAAGAACAATGTCAATGCAATGCATGCCTTAAAGAGTGGTCATTGGACTTGTTAAGAATGTTATCATATGATTCTATGTCAAATCTTTCCTCATCCAGATGGTGTATCTAATGAACTATCTCCATACACAATAGTTCATGGAGAAACAAGTTGATTGTAATTTGCACTTTAACGTGGCATTTGGAACATATGCCCAACAAACCTGGGAACCAACAGACAACACACTTAAGGCATGGTCCGTAGGCACCATTGCCCTGCAACCAACACTCAAGGACCAATTTCACTTCCAATACCTGCAGAACACAATGACACCGCAAAATGACACAGAAACAATATCCACATTAACAACCCACAATGAGAGTGAGAACTACATGAATGAACTGGAATGTATTGCCAGGGAAGCATGAAGACACCAACAAGTAAATGATATGGTGCTCACACAATGCAGCCTCAAAGTCAGGCTCAGAAAATTTGACAAGGACAGCAGACAAGCAACCATCAAAGAACTAAAACAAATGTTAACAAGGGAATTGTTCAGTGAGATAGATCACAATACTCTCAGCAAAGAAGATCAGAAGATGGCTTTGTTGATCCTACTATTCCTAACCCTCAAGCGTGATGGAAAGACAGTGAAAGGAAGAGCATGTGCAGATGGTTGACACCAGAGATTATGGACAGCAACGAAGCACAAATCAGCATTCCCAATGATTGCCGTAGAGGCATTGTTCATCAACCTAATCATGGACGCATATGAAGGACAAGATGTAGCAACATGTGCCTTATCAGGACATTTCTTACAAACAGACATGGAAGGGGAACTTATACTGAAGCTGGATGGACGACTAGTAGCCCTGTTGCTCACCAACATTGACTGAAAATGGTGGGACAAACACCTACACCCAGAGAATGGATGGCCAGTGATATATGTAAGATGCGACGAGGCTATATATGGAACAGTAACAGCGGCCGTACTGGTGGCATATAAGAAGCCTAATGGACATTTGACAGACTGGGGATTAAAAATGAACCCATATGAACCATGCTGCTGGAACAAGACGATAGACAACAGCCAGTTTACAATTGTCTTCATGTAGATGACATTAAGCTCAGTCATAAGAATCCAGGACAAGTTACCAAAGTGATAAAACTACTGGAATCAGAATACACAAAGCAGGACCCAATGACAATCACACAAGGTAAGAAACACCAGTACCAAGGAATGAACATTGACTTTGAATAACAGGAAGGTGAGGTTCAAATAACGATGTATGATTATATGCAGCGGATGATACAAGAATTGACAACAGGCAGATATGATTGGAAGAAAAGAGACTGCAGCACCAACACACTTGTTCCAAACTGACCAAGAGGATCCAACCAAACTGGTTAGGGGAATAGCAGAGGACTTCCATTCCATCACAGCACAAGCACTGACCAGATCTACAGCTGGCAACAGCATTCCTCTGCACACAGGTGAAATCACCAGACAAACACGCCTACAAGAAACTCAGACATCAAGTGATGTACCTACTACAGGCAACTGCACACCTACCATTAATACTGCAAGAAGATGGAAAAGGGACAGCATTATACCAAACAAGTGAATGTGTGTGTGTGTATGCATGCGTGCATGTGTGTATTCTCTTCTTTGTTCTGTTTTATGACTACTCTGCCACCTGTATCTTTGTTCACTGGCTGCAGATTCTCTTGCCTTCATTGGCTTGGAAGTGTGCTTGGCACCTGTTTGTTTCCTTGTTCACTGCAGAGAGACTTGCCCTTTTTGGTTTGGCAGTGCACTTTGCAATGATTGTGACATGACTCTCATCCATCCAAACTGTGAGCCAACTCTTCTAGTATGTCCTATGAGTCCAGTCCAAAGCGTTAATTGGCCTGCCAGTATTCATAGAACCTAATTGCTCTTCCACAAACACTCCTTGGAGGGAGGCACTGCCCCTCACCAGAACAGTTAGGAGCATTCTTCTTCTCCCTAGTCAAGAGAAGTAATGGCTCTGGTCAACATAGCACCTCTTCTAGTTAATGAAGTTAAACAAAGTTTTAAGATTTCCCCCTTTTCTCTCCTTAGTATTACCAGTAGACAAGGCTGTTCTGTTTTATGAAGTTCAGCACCACCAATATTGAAAATATCAGTATTTCTGGTAATTCTACTAGTACTAGTAGCAGTAGTACAAGACACACTCTCAGGCTTGTAAGTACACTACACTAAGACCTGGTCATTTGCTGCTTTTGAAGAAACTGGCAAAATCATGTAACAACAACTTGAAGAGTTTGTAGTAGTATTGTAATTGCAAGAAGAAGAAGAAGAAGGTTGAGTTGATGATCATGCATAATAATATGTTTGCTTGAGCCAAGAATGGACGAGGAAGAAGTAAGATGCAAAAGCTAAAAATGATATTGCTTATCAAATGAACAATAGTGCAGAGCCCAATATTCTTGATCATGCTTGTAAACATAACTTGAACTCTACATGTATTCTGAATGGTTTTCTCCATTTCTAAGAAAATTCAAGGTAAGGCAGGAGTTGTTTACAATGATCCACCACTCCAGCAGTGGTGCTGGAAAGTGCACCAGCAAACAAGTTTCCCAATTCTTGCAAGGCTCGCTGAGATCTATCTTCCTGTGCAACCCACTTCAGCTCCATCTATGTGTGTCTTCAGACAAGCTTCCAGCAAACATGTCCTGCTCCTGGCTAGTAGTACTAGGAGCAAGGCACTCATCCCACCTCTGCCCATTTGTTGGATCCATCAGAGGATGATGCTACTAGTAGCTACTAGAAAAGCATTTTTATTCCTTGTGTCTAAACACTGGGGGTGGTGTGAGATGCATTTGCAGTAGATAAATCTGGCAGAGATGGAGATGGCTGTAGCAGATGGTGATAGTTTTGATGAATAGTGACAGGGCAAACATTGGATGACATGGCTCTAGCATTGACTAATATCCAATTAAGCACTAATCCCCCCCAAAGTACACTAAGTATGTACTGTATGCTTCCTTTTGGCCTGTTTACTTTTTCCCATCTCCGCCCAAATTCGTGCATTTTTAGAATTTTTTTGGAGTTTCCATGATTTTCACCTATGTAGACTGCAGTAAAAATCCTACACAAAATAAGATTGAAATACCAAAAAGAGTTTTAAACAATTACTTTGTAAAACACCTTTTCTGCTCACCATTCATTTCTCTCCTCTTAATATCCAACCAAGAAAATATAAAACACTCCAAACCAGAACATAAATTATCACCCAAACCACCATATTTACCAACATGAAATAATCATATCACCAAGATGGATGATGTTGATTCTTTTTCTGATGGTTGACAATTCTTCTGCTGTCTATGAATGTGTCACAGGTGAAGAGCTTACAAATGCACATAATTCTTTGGAAGATTGTAGTAAAGCCCAGGCAAAAGTTATAGCCTGTCATGACTTTTCAATGTTCAAGGATATGAAGCAATCAATTTTGATTTTGACAATTGAGAGTATCTGGTCAGTGAAGGAGCAGAACCAGTTGAGGCAGAAGGAGGAATTGGCAGTAATACCAAATGAAGCTTGGAAGCAGGTTGATGATGCAGAGGAATGGTATTCTCCTCCCAATGTAGGAGGTGTGACCCCAGGTCCCACGTGTGCTGTAAGCAATTCATTGGATGGCTGCACTAGTAAGGTGGAGGGGTTGGTGCATTTGTTCTTGTTCTTGTTTGATGAAAACATCCTTTGGATGATAGCAAATGAGTCCAACCAGTATGTGTTTGAAGATTGGGTGACAGAAGTGAAGCTACCGATGCTAATGGAAGGGTAAAGAAGACAAAGATGCTCAAGCTCTGTGATGTCACCAATCCCAACAAATGAAAGCGTGTTCTACATTCAGTCAAAGACCAATGGAACTTCACTTCTGGTTACATCCTTGCCTGGCTTGGTATATGCATCTGCTATGGAGGTCTGGGTGGTTCAAAAGAATCTCCCCAAATTCTTTGGACTTGTCTTGAGGATGGTGGTGTGTATGCTCCCATGGTCAAGAATAAAATGAGCAAGAACGGATGCGGCTTTGTTAGACGATACATTCATTTTGGTGACAACAGGAGCTAAGCTAATCATACTGACAACACACTCTACAAAATCTGTACTGTGATGGAGAAAACTGCCAATTGTCTTTGTCTTGGGTGGCATACAAATATTGACCTATCTGTTGATGAGTCTATGATTGTATACAAAGGAAAATCCATTCAATTTGTTCAGTATCTTCCCAAGAAGCCAATCAAGCATGGTATTAAGGTGTACTATGTGTGTGATGCTGACACTGGGAACTTAATTGTATTTGAGATCTACACTGGTATTAGTAGTGGGTCTACATGGGCTATTATTCAGGAATTGGTACATCAATCCAATCTTGGACAACAAAATGGCTGTCAACTGTTCATTGACAACTTCTGCCTTACAATGAAAGGTGTGACCAAGCTATATGAAGAATACAGATGGGTATCAGATGATACCTTTGTATTTTCTTCTGTTTGCTTGATAGAGTGGTACACTCCTGCTACATTATTGTCACTAGCCTAGCATGTGACGAGTTTATGAAGGAATGGAAGATACACAAATCAAAACACAACGGTAGGAAAAACAAGTTTCAATCTCATCTTCTTGGCATTGCATTGATGAATAGAGGTATCAAAATGGACTGGAAAGCTCCATATGATGAAGATTCTAAGCCAGAGTGGATGCCTCAGACTTCAAAGAATTGAAAATATCACCCTTGCAATTGCGAGATTTGTTTCTTCTGTGTGGTGAACAAGAAGACCAGCACCATTGCTCATGGAAAGGTAGTAATGTCAAAGCCACATAAAGAAAGATGGAGTGGTAAGTATGAAGGAGTAAAGAGGAACTATTGTGTTGTGTGTGTAGAAGAAGCAAAGCATATGTATCCTAACTCATCAGTGAGGAGATTGAGGAAGTTGCCACCACCATGGATTCGCACTTGGTAGTATAAAAATGTCAACAAGGAATGTTGGTTGCAGAGGTTGCAATGTTGCTGTATGTAAAGAGCATTGGAGTAACTTCAACCATCAAGTGTAGTGATGTGTTATAAATGAAAATATTTATATTTGTTAATATATATTCTTGTAATATTGTTCATAGTGATGAGAGGGGTGTGATTGCATAAGTAGAGTAATAGTAGAGTAGTAGTAGTGTAGTAGTAGCAAAGAAAAAAAATCCCAAATTTTCCAGGTGGCAACATTTGGCAACACGCGACGGGAAAAAGTTCAGGTTGCTAGTTCAAGAACTAACGGGTTGTGGTTTGTGCATTTCAATTCAATCTCAGTCGTGCATCATTCGATCCACGTGGCATTTTTTTGTGCAGCTTTGGGGTTAAGGATTTTGGAAAAATTATAATAACTTGTGCCTCATTTTTTTGACGTACGTACGATGAGTACTAGTACTCGAACCTCCTCGTAAATACAATCTATCACAACGGACGATGATGGACGGTCCGAATGAAAGCACACCGTTCCTTCCTTTCAGAGTTGTTCCACATCGTGTGTGACCATGAGATTCCCCTCCCTGAAGCAGCAAGAAAGATTATCAATCTATATCTAGTGCACTCAATCGAAAAGAAGTGGAGCAACCTAGTCACTATTGTATCCAATAACGATAGCCCATTGACGAGCAAACGCAACACAATACAACACTTAAAAGAAACATCCATCATGGCCAAAACAAAAACAAAAGCCGCCACCAAGGGAGGCTCCAAGCGCGAAAAGCCCCCCGCTCTTGATCAGTACAAAATGCCCCTTATCGCCCTTTGTCTGAGCATGCTAGGATACCATATGTTCCGGGGCATGATGGCCAAGGAAATCAAGAGAGTCGACATGACCGCCACCGCCAACGAGCTCGAGCTGAGAGAGGTCTTTTTCGGAGAGGACGTGAACACAGGATCCACGAACTACGCCGTCTTGTGCTACCCCGAGAACGCCGTCTTTCCCGTCTCTTCAGTCTTCCAGGATGCCGCCAATGACGGGAGCGCACCCTGCCAGTTCCGTCTCATGGATTGCGACGCGGCCATGCCCTTTTCCGAGGAAGGAAAGTCCGTCGTCAAGAGGTTCGGCCTCAACAAAAAGACGCGCCCGGTTGTCTTTGTCAGCGGTGCCGTCGGCCAGCCCAAGCAGGTCCCCGCGAAGTACCTCAAAACCGGAGCCATGCTTACTAAGGCCCTGAAAAACCTCCTCGAACCCAGGGCTGAAAAAATCGAGACGACGCAGGACCTCCGATCCAAGTGTCTGGACAAGGACATTTGTGGTTTGATGCTCAAGGGCGGCAAGGTTTCGCCGACCTATGCGAAGGAAGCCATGCAAAAATTGGTGGTGGAATACCCCAAGGTCACCTTTGCGGCGGTAGATTCCAGTGTCTTGTACGTGAAGGGCATCGAGGCCGAATTTTTGCCGGAACTCACACCGGGGCTTCCCCGCTTCATTGTCTTTCAAAAGACCAGCGGGGGTGTCAAGTCGGACAGCTCTCGTCTCAAGTCGACGGCAATCCCCCTGGATGTGGATGTGGCATACGGACCCATGTCCAATCTCGTAGCTTCCGTGGTCAGCGGAAAGGCCGAGATGACCAAGATTCCGGCATCGCCCACCATCAAGACGCGCACCAAAAAACTCGAAAAATCCGAAAACGAAAAACGACAACGTCGCAAGAACAAGACCAACGGTAGCGGCGACTCTAGTTCCGACAGTGGGACGCCGCATTCGGGTGCAAACGATGGTTCGAGAGAGGGACGAAGAGCAGAACGAGAACGCCGCAGGGCAGAGCACCGCAAGAACAATCCCAACTACAGGGAAAAGACGCCGGAAGAAATCAAGGAAATGGAACGGAAGCGCCGCATCCGCATGGAGGAAGAGGCCAAGAAATGGAACATGGATGCCGAGGATCCTTCAGAGGATAGTTCTTCGGGTGAATACATGGTGGAGGACGAGGGCTTTGACGAGGACGAAGAAAATCTTGACGAAGAGGACGAAGACGTCATGGACCTCGACTAAATGCGAACGAACGAAAAAGTGTCATATGCGCATGCATCTCTCTGATCTTGACCACGGTAGATCAATAATATGCTAGAATGCAATCATTCACAATACAGTAAGCAGTTCCATATCTAGTTTTCGTCTACTATAGCATAATCCACAGTTCAGTGTTCATGGTTGTCTTCTCGAAAATAACAATTATGTTGTTGCGAAACAATGAGGTTGAAAAGAAGCACAATGGGATAGAACATTCGAAGTGTGTTTATTGTGTGAAGGATATGTTGCCAACATGCTACAGCCACGTCTAGCCAGGCTCTCAATGACAAAGAATCATGTGAGCACTACTCAGCGAAACTTCTGAAGAAATACTAAACTGCATTGCATGTTTATTGTCATGTCATTTCCGTTTGAATTGCCTTTGATTTTCATCCGCAAAATTGTGATAACTACTTTCTTCTATTCACACACCTAGGATGGATGAAGCGGATTCTTCTAGAGATAAACACCAGCAAATTCGTCGGCTTTCGGATTGGGTGATGCGTTGCAAACTCGGGGCGATGGGCATTCCTATCGAGGGGTATACCTCTGCAGTTCATGCATCGGGAATATGCTTGGTCCCGAAGACCGCCCCTGTGCCGACCTTCCCGCCTTTGCGAAACGAAACGAAGCGCAGCAGCGAGCGTTCGCTTTCAAAGGACCCGGGATTCCATGGATGGGGACCGGTGCGTGCCTGTGCACTCCATGGGACCCCTTCCGAAACAGCGCCACCAATCCAAAGGAAGCGATGCGATCGAGAATTCAAACCACGCAGGGCACTGCGAAAGAAGAAATTCCGCTCATCGTTACTCTGCGTCCACCGGCGATCGACACATGTCTGAGGCCCGACAAGATCACGGACGCACAAGGGGGGAGCACTGCCCGTGGCGCAAACCGTCTCAGGGGCCCCGCCCCAGCGCAGATGTGGCAACAAAACCGTCCGTGCACTTCTATTCGTTTCCTTGGGAATCCATGAGCAGCTCGCACAAGAGCTCGGTGACAACCCTGACGCTAATGCTGTTCCCGATCAATTTGTAGCGCTGTTCCAGCGAGGGAACCACGCCGGAGGGTATCTCAAAAGGGTTGCTCTTGCCCTCATCACCGCCACAGCCGCCGTCGATGTCCACCTCCACAAAGCCAAACAGCCTCAGCAATTCCTCTGGTGTGAACCTCCTCAGCTTGCCCTCGTAGGCAGTCATGTCCGACCGATCGAGCGGAACCTCCGACAGCGGCGGGCGATCGTCGCGTTCCGTGTCGTCCCCCATCCACAGAAGGCTTCCGGTTGATCGATGGTAGATGCGGCCGTATCCGGCGGTGAAGCAGTGCGTAATGGTGTCCTTTTTGGTCACGATCCCCAGATTCTTTGCCCAGGGCTTGGAGAGGACCGACATAGGTACCACCGGGCGCGAAGCTGCCTCGGCCGAACCGTCCCTGGCGGCGTGCTGTTCTCGCCCGGGCTCGTCGCAGGAAGCAGCGTAGAAGTCGTCGTCGAAGACGTAGGTTCCAATCGTCTGAATGGTCGGGGGCGTCGTTCCGGCTTGCCCCCCGGACCACGAGGACGACCGGTTGGGAAGGGATGCAGCATCGTGAATGGGAACGGGAACCGTTGTGCTCTGGTCTCCGTGATCTGGGTCGTTGACATCCGCATGGTTGTGTTGCGGCTGTTGTCGTTGTGGAACAACATACCACCGTGGACTTCTTGTGGTCCGCTCTGCCAGCACGTAAAAGCGCATGCGATGGTTCGGAATCCCGAGGTCGATGGGGCTGAGCAGGTATGGTTTGTAGGAATACCCGTTGCGGTTCAGGCATTCGTACCACTGCCTGCACATTTCACTGTTGGCAAAGCCCTTTACGTTTTCTAGAAGAATCCAGCGAGGCAAGGGGTCCTCAATAGCATTGGCTCCTTCGGTTTCGTCTGCTGCGTGGCTGTTCCCGGTGATGCTAATTCTTCTCAGTGCGTCCAGCAATGAGATGATCCCCTTGAGGCCATTGCACCGCTTGTCCTCAGCGTCCAATCGCCGGTCGCTGCCTTTTTTGTCCCTGCCGTTGGTCGTAAATGGCTGGCAGGGAGGCGACATGGTCCACAGGTTGGTGCGGAGTTTCGCAATGGTTCCGACCCGGAGTTGCTCGACGAGCTTGGTGGCCACCGCAAAGTTTTTGTTGGTTTCATTGCATTTTTCGCCGTTCCCTTTCCCTGCCTCGAAATTGTGCCGATAGACGTTGTTGGCGTGCAGCGAAATGTCGTAGGCGCGACAGAAATCTAGCCGAAAGGTTGTTCGTTTGTGGCTTCGTCTGGTTTGTGGTTGTGGTTGTGGTTGTGATTGCACTATCATCTCGTCACAGTAGCTACTCCTGCTTCCCGCAGGATCATCGTTATCGTCGTGGTTGTCACCATCGTTCAAGAGCCACAGTGCCCTTTCCAGCGAGAGTCTCATTCCACCAATGCCCGAAAAAAATTCCAGCATTCGAATGCTCTTAACACCGGATTCGTCGTGGTCGCCGTCGATGCCGCCGGTGCTGGTGCAGTAATGATTGGTGTTGGCAGCCAATACGCGTTTGGTACCACTCGTATCTTCATCTTTTTTTTCACGACTGACGTTCCGTTTGCAATCGCCTGGTGCAGCTTCAGGTGCAGCTTCGTCTTTCCTCTCCTCATTGCCCATTGTAGAAGTTTCGTTCGTCTTTCATTGCTTCTATTAGATTGAATAGGATTTTCGATTTTGAGTTTCGTTGTTCTAGTTTGGCGTCGTGTTGTGGCATGGTACCGTACGAGTATGGCCTGGTGGAAGATTAGTTGTTGAACTGGGATGGCACTTGTTGCGCTTGACTGAAGTTTTGTGTAATTCTAATTTTTAATTCTTTTTCGTGTGTGTGCGTGATGTTCATCGAATTTTTTTGGCGTCATGGGTGGATACGACAGGAGTGGCGTACGAACGCTAACCGTTCTGCAGCACCGAAATTATAAATTTTGATATGTGTGGCGTCGCACGGTCCGCGCGTGTACCAAAATGTCAACAGAAATGTAGGTACGTACCGTAACGTACACGCGCTGACCGAGCTCCTCCTGAGATATTATGATACGGTACTAGCTATCGTAGTACTCGCACATACTCATATTATGACCAAAAAATTCTGTTACTGGGTGATTCCCGTTAATAGATGTACTAAACTGGTAAATCTGGCATTTTTATTACTTTTGTAATAACGGGAATCAAATATTCAACGGACAGACTGAGAGCAAGCCGGACTTTATTGCAGTCTTTTTTGGAATCTGGAATCTTAACTATACTCCAACGTAAAGACTAAAAAGACTCAAAACGCGCGCCCTTTGGTATTTGGTACTAAGTAATTCCAGTAGAAAATAAGTTGAAATGAGTTTATGCGTTACGGGACCGTGTGACAAAGAGTAACATGAAAGGGATTTGCTATATGTTTGATACTAAAATCTCAGTGTATCAAAAACACAGCGAATCCCTTCCACTAAAACATGGGCCGGCATGATATTTTCAATACTCAACTAGAGTAAAACATGAACTCATTTTCTGCCTATTTTCAGTAGGAAATGAGTTCATGTTCTACGCTAACGCGTCGACAAACACACTAAAAGACAACAGTTTCCTCCCAGCAACAAGAAAGACAACATCCACCATCGACAATGGGATTAATGGAAGTGATCACCATGTACTGGTACCTCCAGTTGCAGTCGGAGGACGAGCACAGTAGTTACAAAAGCAAACTGTCTCCAGAGGAGCGCCGAAGGAGGGACCGGAGAACCCCAAGGATTGCAATCAGGAGGTACGCCGATTCCTCTTTCCTGTACATGTTCCACTCAGGGGATGACCAATCTCTCTTAAACTGCTGTGGTGTCGACCACAAGGTCTTCAGGGAGCTTGTTGACCTGTTTGCTCCAGTTTGGAACAAGTACACAGTGGACAAGAACAATGAKATYGTGGARGTTCCTTGTTACCCCAGTGGGAAGCCCAAGGGGAAGARAAGGGAGGTTGATGCAGTCTGTGCAATAGGGCTTGTCMTTTACTGGTACAGGACAAGAGGATCGGTTGCAAGAGCAATGGCAATGGCCTTYGGTCWGACGTCCACAGTGATGTACAAGTGGCTTAAATTTTCCAGGAGAGTGATGCTGTTTGCCCTTCACAAACACCCACTCGCCATGGTCAGTCTCCCAACTGAGCAAGAAGTGGATGATTATGTTAAGGCAATTGGAGAGAAGTATCCAAGGCTTGGTGAACAACGCGTTTGGGGTGCTGCAGATGGGCTCAAGCAAGTGATTGAGCAGTCGGAGGACTGGCACAAACAAAAAGCATTCTACAATGCTTGGAAGGAAAACACCTTTGTTAATAGTGTGTTTTTTCCTTTGCCCCCGATGGAAGAATCAGGATTGCAGTGTACAACTGCCCGGGGGCCTGGCATGACAGTGCCATTGCTGACCACGGAGTGTATCAAAGGATCGAGGAGATCAACAGAACATGTAGGGGGGCAAAGGTTGTTGTCGATTTGGCCTTTGCACTGAAGCAATACCAGAATAGCCTATTCAAGAGCTCACAGAAGGATCCTAGCAACGCAAGCCTCCTCTTGTTGAATAGAGACGCAACATCCTTGAGACAGATGTCCGAGTGGGGGATGAGGATGATCCAGGGACAGTTTCCAAGGATCAAAGACCCAATGTTCTTGGAAGAGCTTGGAGATYGAAGGATCATCATGAATCTCCTCATCAACTTGTACAACTTCCAGTGCAGCACCATAGGACACAACCAGATCCTATCCACCTTCATGAAGACACCYGCAGCCACTAGCGCGGACGTCCCTTATGAGAAGGTAGATCTTGTYGCGGGATACTTTGAAGTAGGTAGGGCAATTTCCCAAGACGGAAAYGGAKTGTTCTTCAGAGGAGGATGAATCCCATGGTCAACTGGATGGGATGCTGGAAGAGAGTTACTTCGGAATAAGAGAGATTAATGAAAACAAGAAAACAGTTGCAGATGAGTTCTTGTTAATCGTTACGATGGCAATAAGAGTTGTTAATCGTTGCAACAACACAGTAATACGACACAGTAATCCAAGGATAAAACAACACAGCACGACGACGCAGCGTCTTCTTCATTATAAATCCCAATTTCGAGATTTGCCACCATGGTCCCCCCTTTATTTTCTTTGCATTCGTTAGGAAGAACTTAGTTCAAGTGTTGCAGTACGTGAATAATGAATTAGAGTGTTGCAGTACATGAATAATGAATTAGCGTGAGCTTGGCTGGGAATACTGAATTAGCTTGTTATTCCTGTAACTTACTGTAACTTGCTGTAAGTTGCTGTATTTCGTGCAGTTTATACTATGTACTGGCTTCTACGGGAATGCAGTAGAACCCAGGTTTTCAGGTATCGAAAATGGGACTTTCAGGTATCGAAAACGGGATTAGAAAGAGAGTTCGCATCGCTCAACGGCTGTCATTGATCGGCAGCCACATACATTCCTATTCCCTCAGTCCTCATAACTGTATGTTACTCTATAACGCATTGCTCCGTCTTAGTTGAAGAATGAATATTCTTCATTACAGTATATGCATAGAATGTAATCCCGAGTTTGTTGCACAGAAGGTTTACACGAAAACCACAAATTGATAGGAACTGGTGGAACAAGTACTGCCATCTACAGCGTTCCCATAAGGCAAAGATGAACCATCCTTGCATCATACTGCTCAAGGAAGTGAGCTCATTTTATTTAGTAGTGGTAACTTGTAAGCAGTTTAGTAGTAGTTTAAGTTTAATCATTGGTTAAAGAATGCCTGTTTCCTTCTCATCGCCATGGGATTCCTTCTCCTCACCACCATGGTGGGGTTCGCGACGCTGACGTTTGTGGGGCTGTGGCGTGGAAACGACGCTGTGTGGAGGCTGCTGCAGCTCCATGGAAGCAACGTATTGCGGAGGAGGACGACCATTGTAAGGCGGACCATGGTAAGAAGGTTGTTGCTGGAAAGATTGTATTTGCTTTTGTTGTTGCTGATGCCAAGTATTGAACATGTTAACAGCAGCTCCAAGAAAATCCTTTGCTACTTTCTCTGCAGTACCAAACGCGTCCTTCCAGATCTCAAGATTGTGTTCCTCTCTTTTCTCATGGTTCTTAATGAAGTCATTGAATGCTGCAGCATCAGGGACACTTGATTTCTTCTGCTGGTAGGCTCTCTTCTTCGCAACAGGGGTTACCGATGGTCTTGGTGTCTCTCCAGCAACGACCGGAGGAGCTTCTTCCTCGTCTCCACTGACAGGAGGAGCATCATCGTCGTCTCCTCCTTGTTCCTCTCCAGCAAGAACAATTGGTGGTTCTTCTTCTTCCACTTCAACAAGAATATTGTCATTTTTGGTGGGTGCTAAACCCTCCCCAGCCTCACTTTTAACATAGCCTTTGACCAGATCAAAGTCCTCCTCTCCAGTACCAAGATTTGCCGGACAACCAATCAAGACGTGGGCTTCACGGGCCATCCTCACGTAAGCCAGCATGTTTKGGTTTCCTGTGGAACTCTTGATCCTCTTTATTGCTGCATACTTGGTCWTGATGGATGATCTGGTTCTGAAGAAGGGCCAGGCTTTTGCGTGGTCAGCTACTATGCAATCCCACTCATCATTACTAATGGGAACTCTGTTGAGTATCATACCAATGAGACTGTCCAGCTCATCGTGAGTGTAGTTTGCTACTCCAGCCTTCCGGCCACCACCACTGTTGCTGTTGCCATTACCGGCCATCTTTGTGTTCAGTACACTAGAAAGACAATGAGTTCTCTCTCCTTGCTCTTTGGTGCTGTTGAGTACTAGTAGTATGCCGGCCGCGTCCTCCTYGTATTGCTTGATTGCACTGACTAACACACCACCCAGCACTGACCAAGACAGCATACTTTTATGTCCMKGGGCACTGTCCCTTGGCGCCATTCTTAATAGAGGCGCCTCCAATGTYGTTGATACTACTAGCTATGGTGGCTGGCGCATGCCCGTGTCTTGTTGTTGTTTAGAAAAAAGAACCTAATTTTGTCGAGTTCTGTCTTAAGATTCTGGCGGGCTTTCTGTTGAGTCTTTCAGAATCATTCAACGGACTCAAAATTTTGAATCAGGAGTTCCATAATAAATTTTATTACTTTTGAAGAGGGTCAACGGAGCTCATCAAACGTAATAAATTTTTGTTATAAATGTGCTAAATTTACGGTCTGTCAGTCTATCAAAAGTAGCACATCTATAATAACGGGAATCACCCACTATTACTAATAAAAAATACTACTATTCGTAATTGTCAAGTAAAGTAGGTACTACTTCGGTTCTTGTGATGTAAAACATCATTATCTATCGCTGTTGCTATTGTATTAGTAACTATCATTTTAACAGGACATGCAAGAATGTAACACATAGTAGGTGATGACTCTGCTCACCAAACAGAACATTGGAACGTCTGGTGCGGTGCGGTGTGATGCGAGGGGGGGGCTTCGTTGTAGGATTACTCGTTTCTTAGCTTCGTTGGTGGCTCGACCGGCGGCCGAACGGGCCGCATCGTTGCTTGCCTTGCTCACTGACGTTTTCGTCTCTTGAATTTCGTCGTTCAAAAGCATTGGGTACAGCACTCACAGACCACGAGGGGGGGAGACGGGCGGTTCGGTGCACCCAGGCAATCCACCGTCAGCACCTGCAGCTCCGGGAGAGGTTCCATCGCCCCGCACGGTACGGTTCCGCTGAGCCGGTTGTTGTCCATCGTTGCGACCTCTATGGCGACGACACACCGAGAGCGGGAGGACGGATCGTGGATGTTGGGTTTTGCGTCGTTTTGTTCGGCGTGCGTCGCGTTGTTTTGCGAATTTTGGTTTATGGCAGGACAAAACAGCAAGAAAAAGGCGCCAATGCAATACCGTGAGCAAAACAAGAACGTGCGACTCAGACTGAAACAAACAGAAAACACCAATTCCAAATCATGCATGGAATTGTGAAAGAACAAGAAGACTGAAGTTTTGTGATGGCGTGTTGAACTGATAGTACACGAGCTTGTGCCATGGAACGTACCCAGAGCGAGGAGTTCCCCCATCTGCGTGGGGACCGTCCCAGAGAACAAATTGTTTTCGATCTGAAAGAAACTGAGCTTGCCCAGGTCCGAGATGCTTGTGCTGATTGAACCAGTCAGCTCGTTGTCGTTGAGGTCCAGCTGTCGAAGGTTGGATAGCATGTACAATTCCTCGGGAATCGGCCCCTGCAACAGATTGAAATTCAGATCAATCTGTTCAAGGGACCGGATCTCGCCCAGTTCCGTGGGGATGGTCCCCGTCAGGATTCCCTCCTCAAGCACGAGGTTGCGCAGGTTTTGGAGACGGCTGAGTTCGTGGGCCAGCGTTCCGCCGACACCGTTTTGTTCTGAGAAAAAGAATTTGTATTCGTTTGTTTGTGAGTGGGTGAGAGTGAGAGTGAGAGCGAGAGCGAGAGTTAGTGACTTGAGTCGAGTTGAGAATAAACAACAAAAATTACAAAGCAGACGTGGTTGTGCTAACAGTTACAGATAGAGAAAAGCAACAACCAGCGCCGAAAGGAATGACCCTGCAAAAACAAACAACGTAAATAATAGTTATAACGTACCCATTTCAATTCGTACCACAAAGCCTTCCTCGTTGCACCCTACTCCACCCCATCCACATTCCGTACCGGATGTCAGCCACGCGTGGCTGTTGGAATCAACCCCATCCACCTCGATGGTACACAGAGCATTGGCGTTTTGTTCATCTTCCGCTTCGCTTTCGGCATCGTTCGCGGCTTCCGGCGGAGGAGCCGAGCACTGGATCCATCGATCCCCTCGAGTGCTGAAATAAAAGACGGCCATGACGTAACGCTGGATCAAGTGCTTGTCCTGAGGACACAGCTGCATCGGATCTCCATCGATCATCCACTTTAGCGCCAGCATCTGCGGCGATCCCGGTGTGTCCACTTCGGCAGGATTCGAGACAACTCGCAAAAAAATGTTGATAAGCGCCGACCGCCCCTCTTGCGAAAGATTGCACTTCTGGGTTGTCGAGACAGAGGGGGATGCTGAGCTGAGACTGGAGGTCGGTCCAGGATTCGACAACGATGGACTAGGTGTCGGAATAGTGGTGATGACTGGGGCAAGAGTTGGGCTTGGTGTGCTCGGGGCAGCAGCGGTTGGGGCAAGGGTGCCCGTGGTTGGGAGCCCCGTCGGGCCACTCGAGCCTATCGTTGGCATTTCTGTGGGTGAAGCGGTGGTAACTGACACCGTGGGTCCGGATGTAGGACCCTCGGAGACGACACTCGATGGTTCCTGCGAGGGATCCTCTGTTGGTTCCTCTGTGGGTTCTCTAGTTGGAGTTTTGGTGGGCTCCTTTGAAGGTGTCTCTGTGGGAGACCCCGTTGCAGATCTCGTTGGAGGGTTCGTAGGCGAGCTGCTCGGAGACTCCGTTGTGGGTCTTAGCGTGGGCGACATTTTTGGTGTTCCTGTTGGTGGAACGGTAGGAGGATCTGTTGTCAAGATCGTCGTTGGTGCTGCGCTCGGAGGGATGGTGGGAAGATTTCCGGGTGGCTTTGTTACTTTGATTATTGGCATAGTTGGTTGCGGGGAGTTACTTGGTGGTAGCGTTTCATCGAAACTACTTAATTGCTCCAGTAACAAACCATCGTAGAATCCCTTTTCTTCCCCATCAATGTCAAAGGCTGGGGGAGAGATGTCTCCATTGGTGCGCTCTTTGGGCTCTTCTTCGTCATCGTTATTCTTATTGGTTTTGTCGTTCAACGTTGCTGCTGTGTTTCCATTCCCGGAGAGAATTCCTCCATTAGCAATCGTTGGATTCCTTCGTGTGCTGGCTCTTAGATTCTCTGCAAAAGCACTATTTGATGCGGTGAGGATGGCAATTGTCCATACCGCCGTCGTAGTGGCAATCATAAAAATGCGCATGCTATACTTTTGTTTGAATTTCTTCTTTTGTGTGTCACCGAACTATTTCGATTGTGCAAAAAATATCTTGTTGCTGGCCCTAGATTCGCATCTATTCGCGTTGAGCCCTTCAAACAAGCAGACAGGGAACAGTATGGTAGACTTGATGGAAGTCGTTGCGATGAGTTTTCTTCTGCGTGAAGTTTCAAGATCTAGTGCGAAAGGTGTCCGCCCGATGCGTTGTCCACAATAATTCTTCGATTCTACTGAACGACTTACTCCTTCGCAGTATTTCTGTACAACCGGCAAATATCTTAGTTACTCTAATTTATTCCGAACCAAGCTACCGCCAACGCCGTTTCGTCGAGGAAGTAAAAATAACCATTGGAGTTACCTTCGATAATAGCATGGTCCTGAGGGATGCTTCCTTTTTTTTTCGCGATATTGTGAGACTCACGTTAAATAAATGTGACGCCGAGCGTTGGTGAAGATAGCACAATCTTGGTACTTAGGATCGAACTAGGTAACCATGAGCTCACTTAGAGAAATATAGCGATTTGAGTGTAGCCGGCCGGCAATAGCTTTTGCATGAATGATCATACAGTAAGACTGGATCATCAATAATAATATCAGCAGCCCTACCGTATTCAAAATTCCATATCACAGTACCGAAGGTACCAAATAGTTCGTACGTACGTTCGTCCTCTGCTGCCGTCATACCGGTAGTACTTACAAGTACGAGTACCGATTTCCGATAGACATAGTTGTGCGGTGCGCACTCGATGAGAACGTACGTACTCGTAGTACTACGAACAAAGCGAGTGGCAGATTACTGTACGATACAGAATCATTATGATTTTTCTACTAGGCAATGGATCACTGGAAAACAAATTTCATTGAAGCAGTTCTGTAACATTCGGTACGAGTAACCTTTGGAAATGGACATCGATAATTTATTAATGGACTGGATTCATGGGAATGTCCTTTGTTGTTCCAGGGACACGCACCGGTGTACCAAGAATAGCCTCGAAAGAAAGCCGAATTCTATCTAAACTTTATATTACTACACATGGCATCCCTTACAGAATTGCTTTCATTTGCTCTCAGTGCTGCTGAGTATTCCAACAAGTAATGCGGTGAATCCAAAGAAAAATCAATCATCATGGGAAAGCTTCAATCAGGTATTCCCTGTATCGATTGATCATCTTTAGCGGTGCTATGAAGTGTAGTAGACAAAAAATATGATATAGCCAAATGGTAGAGTCAACTTCTCTAGAAGAACTTTACCTCTTGCTGTTTGAAACTCGAGAGATGCTAGTGAAAGTCGACCACGTTGATGCCCATCCAATCGGTTCAATTGCCGCATTTTTGTTGTCGTTACCCCGATATCTCTCTCGGAAGATAAATGCACAACATGCACAAATTTTTCTTCTCGAAGCTGCTACCGCTGTTGCTATTTTCTGCCTCTGCTGTGTCTTATTCTACTTTGCAACGATTGGTGGAGGTTGGTCCCATCGAAAGAAGTAGATGCTACGCAAGCACTACTGTGGGTATTCTTGGTAGCATTAGCTGTGTGAGTGGCTTCGTAGATCGGCCAGCTGTGCCTGCGGAAATGGTACCTCAATTGTTGGTAAAGAGGTTTTTGCTGCTGCTGTTGCTGTTGCTGTTGATGATGAATATGTTGATGTTGATGACGTTGTTGTTGTTGCTGCTGCTGAATACTGACTCTTTGGTGGAGGGAATCGCGAATACTGCCATCACCGCTTCCACCACTACTATGCGTTTGATCCCCATCTTGCAAAAACGAAGACATGCTTCGTCTTCCCTCTTGCAAAACATTGATGGCATCGGTAAGACAATCGATGTGATTTCTGTTGACACCATCGCCCTCTTGGCTGGCATCCCTCATCAGAGAGGGAGGAAAATGCGATATAATTCGATGTCTTCTCGATCGCCGACTGGTTTGACGACGACTCATTTTGCTGTTGCCAATGTTTCCGTGATTGTCGTTGCACCTCATTTGCATGATGGTTCGTTCGCTCCTGTCCGTATGGTGTTTTTGAGTTTGAATCGACCTCTAATGAAATTCGAGGTAGGCACAAGAAACAAAGTTAGATGATCGGAAGATATCGTGAGGCGAGACTAGGCCTCGTTGGAATATCTCTGTCAGATACGCTCCGTTTGTTGTAATCACAAGTTCCTCGGCGGCTAGCTATTCGATACCTCACAAGGTACTTGTGCTAATCATTCAATTAGGCCATCAATGATACCGCACAGTTTGACAGAAAGAACGCCGTGGTAGCTTTGGATTAAGTAGAGTACCATCAACCGTACAAAAATTCGCTTCCGAATATTTTTTTTCGTTCGTTACCCTTCATAATGTTACTGGTTGAACTGATGATGCAATATTAATAGAATTATCGAAGGAGATCACTTACGTGACCGTTATTGATATTCTCTTGATTTTTCTCAATTCTTTTTAATTACAACTACACTCGCGTCCAATAACTTTTATTTTTATCTTTGCTTTTTCTGAGAATGTTGGTTCACTTATTGATTCAAGGGTCTTGATAGAATTTTTTTAAGAAGAATTGCGTGACCGTTATTGATAAAGTTGACTAATAATCTTCAGATTTATCTTAGGTAGAGCACATAGAGTAAGGATGATATTTTCCAATTAGTTACGATTTTTTACTTATTGACGAAAACTGTATTGACATCTTGATTGTTTAATATATACTACGTACTTAGTGTTTAATTCTCTTTCCGTGGTGAAATCTATCATCATGAAAATGCCTTTGCTTGCAATTCTCTCTCTTAATTGAACCATAGAAATTATCATGCGTTAGGCAATGGGGCGTAAGTCATAACATTGACCATGTCTTTATTGATAGTGTTGTCTATAAGGTGTGATCTTTGGGTAACCGCAAAAGAACTTCGAATTTGTTCCCTCTCTCCTTCCCTCCATTTTTAGTTACAGAACCAATGTGCACAAAATATCTTGCCGAGAAAATGAGTGATTCCCGATATTATGGTAGAAATGCAAAATTTGATAGACAGACAGACCAAAAATCTATGACAATTTGTCATAGATTTAGCATTTTTAGAATAAAATGGGTCAACTGACCCCATTCTAAATGTGCTAAATCTATGATGGAACCCAAGAATCAAAATTTCCAGTCCGTTGCAAGATCCAACAGAAAGGCCCGCCAAAATTAAGACTAAACAAGAAGATACGAGCATGCGCCATGGTCAACAAACATCCAAGGCGCCTCTATTAAGAATGGTGCCCAGTTGGGACATAAAGTAGTATGTCTCAATCAGTGCTGTTAGTCAGTACATTCTATTTCCTTTGTTTGTTGCAGCAAAGAGAGCAAGAAGAGGAGGCCGACGCCATTGACCTCAAAGAGGAGGAACAAGGAGGAGCTCCTCACCATTGTCCAATCCCCAAGATATGCCTAATCACCTGTTGCCGCTGTTGCTGCCACCAAGAACAACGCTGCTCCTGCTCTTGGCCACAGGAGTGGCACTATAAACTACTCTAGAGAAGAGATCACCAGTCTCATGAGATTGATTGTGGATGTAATCCCCGTATGTGCTGAGGGATGGGAGTACATTACAGCAAAGCATGCTGAGAGTTGGCCTGTTGGTAGGACCACGACCTCCATCAAGACTAAGTATGCAGCTGTGAGGAGGATCAAAAGCTCCACTGGAAATCCCAATATGCMAGAGTACATGAAGCTGGCCTGGCAAGCCCACATCTTGATTGGTGAAAAGGCAAATCTTGGTACTGGAGAGGAGGTCTTTGATCTGGAGCAAGGCTTTGCTAGGAGTGAGGCTGTGGCAAGTTTAGAGCCTCCAGCTTCAGGAGAAACTGAGACGCCTTTTATTCTTGCTGGAGACACATCTAGTAGTGTCGACGGTGAAGAACAACAGGAGGAGCAGGAGGATTTCGCTGCTGTGGTAGCTTCCTCCAGCAATTTGACCCCTTCACTCATTGAATCTACCCCAGCAAAGAAGAGATCTTATCAGCAACAGAGGAAATCTGCTGTTCCTGATGCTGCCGTATTCAACAAATTCATCATTAAGCAGGAACAACGGGCTGAAAAAAGAGAACAAAGAGAGGACAAAAGAGACAAACGCAGTATTGAGATGTGGAGTGGTGTAAAGGATGTAGCAGAGAAGTTTCTTGGTGCTACTGTTAGCATGATGATTACATGGCAACAACAACAACAATCTTACCATGGTCCTCCTCCCCCTACCATTACCAGTATGGTCCTCCACCACCTGCTTCTGTTGCATTGACTGTTGCATCCACTGCTGCTGTTGCATCCACAGCCGATGCATACACTTCTTCAACGCCCCAGCCTCCGCACAAAAGACAACACTGACAGCATGAACAGGAATCCCATGATGAATCCCATGGCGAGGATGTTTAAATGGTTACTTTACATTAGACTAAATTAACTACACTAAAMTGTATCTGTGTGGATAGGAAACAATGAGCTTGAGCTTGTTACTGTGTTATCACTTACTGTTCTACTAAGCTGTTGCATAGATTATCTTGCAAAGAACAAAGATGTCAATAGATCTGAATGATAAGAATCCTGTGTAGATTCAGTACCAGAGCTACACAAGGATCTAATTGGAGCTTCGGAAAGCTCACGTTGAAACACAATAATCTTAATCATAATTTTCAATTTTATACACTAAACATACTAAGAGTACACGCATCTCATGCACAGTAATTACTACTTGTTTTTTTGTGTATTAAAAAAAATTAATCATCCATTAAGGAAAACAACCAAAATAACACATCGACCATGGTGAAACCAAACAAAAACACCAACTCCTCTTCMAAACAACATCAACACACACACTGATCCTGTCTCAGCCTCACTAACAGCTTTGATCCAGCCCAGTTGAAAACAGTCTCAATGACCATGAATCTCAGAAATCCAGTAAGAAAGCTAACAAAGACCTGCTTAACCTTCTCCAGGGAACATGGAGTACAACAAGAACTGTTTCATGTGCAAGAAGATTTTGAAGATGCAATACTGGACTTGGAAATACCAGAGGATAAAATAGATCAGAAGTGGCAAATGGTCCTTGTGCATAGGCCCAGACAGAAATGGAACAGCATGTGGAACAACAACAGATTACCGGAAGTATCTAGAGATAGCAAGGCACAATGGAAGATAGCCCTCCTTACCTTCAGAAAGTTCTATGCACCATCCAAGTATGCTAGGGATGATGTTGTTGAATATTTGGAATCAGACGCTATCAGGAAGCCTTATGCGGTCTCCTGTGAAGCCCATGCTGACTGAGTTCAAACCTGTTGTGCCAGAGCCAACATCCTTCATGGCATCCGGGAACCTTTATCAGACAGAGAGATCAAAAAGATTCTCTTTAGATCCTTCCCCAAATCCTGGCAGAATGACTATATAAAGTGTGGGAGAGATATCATGAGGGACACAATTGAAGCGATTGTGGAATACACGACAGACCAAAAAGGAATAGCAGATGATG